GTAATCCCAGGATGACATCAAATTTGTCGTCCAGATCCAGTACGATGCAGCCATCATCGTACTGTTCGCCCTCTAACGTGTAGTGGATTCCTACTACACGTTTCTCAACGGTAATCGATGCGCCTGTTGCAAGGCGCACCGTCATCCTTGTGAGGGGGAATGTCGCGCTCAACGAACTTGAGCCTACGACCCTCTAGTGACTGGCGACGAACAAAGTTGTTCGACGCCCCACAGTCTACTAGGGCACGAAGCGACAAATCATTTGTCGCTTCCAACTTCAAGGTGATGAGCGAAACGTCACCACCAGGTGCAGAGACACACAATGATTGTGTATCTGGAGCAACTTTCGTCAAGAGGTTTGCAAATTCTCTTGAGGTTGCTGGATCAGTAGGGCGCTCCAACGGTTACTGACACCGTTCATTTTTTGATGGTCCGTCTCGCTGTTGCGGCTTTCGCAACAGCGTTAGACCTACGCCCATTGCCCTTTCTGGCAAATGGTCGTCTCATTTTGCTCAGTACTGTTTGGTACTGGGTGTGGGGCACTACACTCGTGTGCGTGGTGCCCTAACTTCTGACAGCGATTGCACCTCTGCAATCACTTGTTGTTTGAAGAGCGAGGTCTCTCGCTCTCAACATAGCAGAGGTCCATTAGTTCTGGACCTCTGATCCCTTGTCGTCTCGGTGGACGATAATAGTTTGAGCTAGCATGAGCCTGTCTCATGCTAAAGTCTTCCTGTTCCGCGGCTGATATCGCATCTCCCAGCGTATTCAGCTCAAGGCGGAACAGGTGGCTCCTGACGGGCCCTTCTGTGAGCCCCTGCATGAACACCGTAATCAACGTGTGTTCATGAACTGGGTTAGCAGTCATACTACTCGCGAGGAGTCGTATATGTTGTGCGTAAGCGTGCATATCATGCTTACCCTACTTGAGTTTCAGGAGCTCTGAACGAGCCCTGAACTCAGCTCGTGGCGGCTCAAACGTTTGTCTGAGCCGGGACTTGAAGTCATCTAGCGACCTAAACACATTTGGGTCGCTACTCTCGAGTCCCAGGGACCAAGTTTTGGCACGCCCTGCCAAGTGGGTCTGAGCAAGTGTGAGTTTCATTTGCTCATCTTCGATGAGACGAGCCCTTGAGGCTCTGTCGAGTTCGACAAACCATAGTAACAGGGAGTCCTACGGGACTCCACTGTACTTGGAGATGTCAACCTTCATGACCTCGGGACCGACGCGCATGCGCCGTCCCGCGTACAGCAGCATGGAATTGCTGCTGTCTCAACAGCTCTGTCTGTTAAGCACCAAGTTCTCTCAACTGCTCGGCCTGTTGAGAGCCTTGCTGGTGAAGCAAGGCTACTTTCTCCCTTTCGGCGACAAGTTCATTTTGAATGAACTTGGCTATAGCGGCATGTTGTTGGTCTCTGTCTAGAGACTCCAACATTGCGCTAATGGCGAACTCGCCTACGGTAGAGCTCATTCGTTCTTCCGCACCCCATTCGATGTCACTCAAATGGGTAAACCCTTCACGCGTGGCGTGAAAGGTCTCTTCATCATCCAACATGTTCATGTTGGATGTTGTGGTCCTTGGAAGGACTACAAAGTGCTACCAGGTGTAACGGGGAACACCCTTGCGTGAATTTAACGCAAGGGTATCGGTGCCCCGACAGACGTACACGAGGCAAACGAGGAAGCGTAGGATAAGGAGAAAGTAAAACTGTTGTATTAATATAACTAAGTCTTTTAACTACTGTCTCTTTGTTTGACTTAACTTAATTGTGCTAATATAACTGAGTGTATGGTGACGTCTCGTAACCACTCATTGCGCGCGTCTTGCGGCGATTGGTGGGTTGATATCATCAAGATATCAACCAATGAACAGACTCTTTGGCCGACCCTTCAATATCACCGCTTCGGTGATATTGTTTAAATAATATTCAACTTCATATTCTTTATTGTCACTTTCTTTTAAAGTGACACTTCCATGTAACGGGCTGCCCCGTTACAATATAAGATTGTTCAGTTTGGACTTGATAAATGATTAAGTAGAACGAAACACTGATGTACAGTAACACGTCTTACGGTCGATTAATGTACGAAGATTTACCATAATTGTATGATTCAGCTCTCGTCTTGAGCAAGAAGAGGACAAGCTTTCTCAAGATTACGAATCTATATCACTTTACAAATGCTTGAGATTCAATGTTGTGTGCCATTCATTTCATGAAATAATGTCTATGTTTTCTACGAGGTACGGGCCTTATCAAGTCAACACACTTTTCGCCAATTGAACACCTTTCATCTTAGAACTAATGTCTTTGACTTGGTACATTTATTCGGTGTTTGTTGCGACGACCAGTCACTATCCTCTTCAGCGTAGGCCGAACCCTCGCCGGTTAGCTGGCTTCATTTGGTTGCGTGCTAGCGGGCGCGTGGTTTTTATCGTACCACGCGACGGGTGTATAGTTACTTGGTTTATGTATGCCACACAGACCCAACTTTTTGCCCTTACACGTACAACACCTTTAGGATCATGCACATGAAGGTGTTTTGATTCGATGGGTATTCCGGTCGAGAAGCCGTATCCTCAAAACCCGAGGTTACGGCTTTCCCAGCTGGAAGCATAACACCACCGATAGGTACCGAGGTTCCTGGGTGGCACTATAGAGCAGTACGCATCAGAAAACGGCTTTAAAGACCTTGATATGGTCTCACAGAGGGATCGAGCCGGCAGCCTCTGGGCTGAAACGGTTCGTGCTTACCCAAGGCACCATGGTGAACCCCTCCCTTTGACACAAGCTTTGCTGCTTCTGGTTGCGGGATCTGATCGAGCTGGTTCGCGTACTGTCCAGATATTGCCAAATTTGGTCCAGAAAACTGACAGAGCTTTGTCTAATCCTCATTATCGCACTTGTTGTGCACGATATTCGAGGTTCAAGATCGAGATCGTTGCAGACAGAATCGATAAACAGCACTAGACTGCGCAGCTCACTTTTAGCAGCTGTGAATTCCATGTTGATGTTAACCTATCAACACATGCACATAGTATCCTCAGCGGAAAAGCATTCGCAAGTGCATAGCGTACAGTTCGCTCCGATGTGTATGATATCATCCGAAGGGTTCATGCAGTAATAAAAGTGATGATTTTGCATTCCTTGTACGGCTGGCAAGACAAAACAGATGTGGATATTGTACATCGCACCATGTATGAAAGTATACCTTCCAACAATATCTGTGCTTGCCCAAGTATGCTTGACGTCGAATCTCGCGAAGCATATCTTGTAGGGGATTTCAAAATAACTACGAATCTAAATCGGTCCGGTGGGGGCAACACCCCCTGCCAGCAAAAAAAGCAGAAACCGTCACATTGAGATACCACCTGGTAAGCCTCAAACAAGACCACCACGGCTGATCGGATCAGCGATGTGGATAGAGGCGTTGGTAGTTCGTAACCATTCTGTGTACGTCATTGCTGCTCGATATCCTGTCTCAGCATATCTCACGTGCAGCAATATCATTTGCACCGTTCTATCGTCCCTGACCACCACGCTCGTTTGACGACTCTATGAGGGGCTTTGCAAAGTGCACACAGCGTCGTGTTTGCGCTCGTGCAGAAGATGTGACAGTTATTCGATTGCGCACAGGCAGCTACACTCAAAATGTCGTCAACTATCATCATGGGTAGGAATCTGATGATTTTGTGAATAGTGGTCTACTTTCGAGTACGTCAGCGTATCATGTTGCCAAAGACCACAGAGGGGACAGCAGATAGAGGGCGCAACACGCGCGGTTTGATGTCACCGACGAAAGTGGCACTTCGAAAGAGTCACGATCAAAGGACAGATTCCCATTGAGCTCGCCCACTGCACAAATGACTTGATTCGAAATCAAGCTACGAGACCCAACTTGCGCTGCGTACTTGTATGCGATTCTTTCAGGCTCTTAGACGGGAAGATCGACACGAATGGCCGATGCGGGAAGAAGAAAGAGCGATACTTTCTGCAATAAACCCAATGCTGCTGAGTCTGCAATACTTGTCCGAGCATGCTGTCTTGTTGACATGTGCGTTTAGCGGCAATCCGACAACAACTGGCGACTCCTTTGGGAATATGCACCACGCAGGGGTAGCAGCAGGTGCACAAGCCGGCCATTTTGACGCAGTATGCATTAGCTTACCAGTCTGGAACCGAAAAACAACGCTATATAGTAAGTCTACGGCGCTGCGCAAGTCCTATAAGCCGTGAAAGTATTGTCGACATCCGAAGCGTCGCCTGCTACAATGCGACCAGCACTCGGCGTGGCTACATGAGGGGAATTGTTCGTCGGAAAAACGTCTTACAAAGCATGTGGAAGGAGAATAGACTGCTGTGAGACCTCTGAAGTTACAATCGTGTGTGTCTACAGCCGTTGTAACAAACGTTAGCGCACGTCACGCTCGATATGCAACATACGATGCTCATTTGCAATGTGGTGGACGTTATGTGATGTTGCCTGGGGCATTGGAACGCTTAAGGAGACATGGTAAACCGGGGTGCTGTGGTGGGATGTACACGTTCCATCCTGTGCAATCACGGCTAAATGAGTCGACCACGATACATAGCTGCCAAAGTGCAAGCGCCTGCCGGTCATGCGAGCGTGGTGTTGATGACCACAAACCGAGCTCTGACGACGGAAAGTGAGCTTCATGAAGCGTAGTGGTCGACGACACCAACGATGCCTCCTCAGCTATGGATATGCAAACGGGCATTGCATGAAAATCTAGACAAAGCGTGTATTACGAGTGTCGCTGCGCTCGAGGAGAGAGATCAACCGCAATGAGTGCAACGCGGTCGGACTATATTGCGTCACCGCTATTTTGCTCTCTTCTCGACATGCACGTGCAGCTAGCAAAGCTGTCAACATCATAAGCAAGTGCGGTATCGAAAGGAGAGATGGATTTTTTTGTTGTTGTCGCTTCTTTCAGCGATGTACCTCGCATTCTACCACGAAGCAGCGCGATCAGTCGCGTTTAAACATTTGAAGACCTCTTTAAACTCTGTTGCCGCACGAACGCTGTTCCCAGTTCCACGAATGCCCTTTGCGAACCGCTGCGGTCCAGCTTCGGACCAAGAAGCAGCTTGTCAAACTCGTCAGCACTGTAGTATCTCGATACGACGGAGGCCATGACCTTCCTGGCGTTCTCTCTTTCCATAAACAGTACGAACTTGCACCACGCGTTCAACTCTGGACGCTCAAAGATGTTCAGGCCTGGCTCGTGCAGCTTGAGCAGCTCGAAAACGGCATCTGCGGAATGCTTAGCATCGCGCCACTTTTCTCGCTGCTCCCTCGCCAATCGGGTCCCGATTTGGTCGCTCTTTTCGATAAGCGCTTCACTCTTTCTGGCGAGTACCAGATCCGTGTACGTCCACGAGAGCACAAGCGCAGCGGAAACCTTGTTGTTCGGATGGTGCTTGTTGAAAATATCCACGAAGTTGATCCAAGTGTAGAAGTGTGGACTGAGCAGAGATTCATCCAGTCCAGCGTTGAGCTTCAACCGCAGAAAAACGTCATAGACGGTTTGTTTGCTCCGGAGCCACTGTCGAACTCGAAAGCTGTTGGCGATCTCGACGCGCGACCGCTCCAAAAGATTCTTGAGCGATGACGCAATCGACAGAGGAGAGATATTTGCTCTTTCATCGGGTTGGTCACCACCGCTCATGAAGCTCTTGGACACACCTTTGGGTTCAGTCGCTGTCCCCGATGCAACATCAGAGGTCGCCCTTGTGGACGGTACCCTTTCCGTCACAGCCCTTGTCGGTGCCAGCACAGCAGCCAACATCGTGAGTGCACATAGTGCTACGATATGTGGGCAACGCATGCTTGAGCAGAAGGCGATGGATTGGGGAATGACAAGGACCTGAGTTGATCGACTGCCTCTCCGGGAACCAATGGATCAGCATAGAGCGTTTGCGACGATAGCACCGCGTCTGGCAGAACGCACATCATGTTACTTACGTCCGCACGGAACTCAGCTGGCCAACGCATAGCAAGTACGATCTCAAGACGAAGCGGAGGGCTCGGCTGTCCGACTTGTTGCAACATGTATGGGGTCGAATATGGGGACGTCTCCAGAGGGTGTGAGCTACAGGTGCATGCGGGTCACCGGCTCTGAATCATCTTTTCAACAAACAGGACGACGGCGACTCGACTGTTTTCACTCATATCAGGCAGAGGGTTCGCAGATAGTAATCTGCGGATCAACTCACTCGTTTTGATGGTGTGAATAGGAAAGACGACGGCCGCCTCGGACCGCCATTCCGTAACCCTTTTTATCCAGACACATGCTCTGGTAGCCATATAGCTAGCGTGCGCTTGTCTTTGCTTCACGTACACGGCTTTTTTCAGCGGTCCGTGAGCTCTCTGTCACGAATCTCGATCCTCACAGCGTTTACACGTCGATTAGTCGGCACCAGGAGTACCTCCGAAGAGCGACAAGTTCACTTGCAAAGCCTACTTCCAGAAAGCTGGACAAAAGTAATACGTGCTGGCTCGAAGAGGGGAACTTGATCGTCATGATCCGGGCAGCTGTGCGATAGGGGGAACACTACGCATCCTCCTCGGTCCACATATGATACAATCGCTCTCGGCTCAGTCTCCCGTAGCCTGTTCGTCGTTTCCCATTCACTAATTGCAACATGCACGTGCTTTACCTCCCTTACCACGTAGCACCACGTGTACATTGACAGAGCAGCTCGCCTCAGTGTCGGATCTCTTTGCTTAGCCCATGAGAAATACAGTCTGGCACGCATATGCATAAAAAAGAAGCACGTTGACCGATTTCCCATACCAACGTGCCTACTCATGCAGGATCGACAGATATTGTCCAGTAACAACGGTAGCGCTCACGCTCATCAGTGTCGAGGCGCTCTCGACAACGAGTACGACTTCACACAAGACGCAATCTTTAGTCGCACTGGCTACGAACTGGTATACGAGGGCATGGGACGAGCGCTACAGGACTTGCCAGCAGGACCAGTCCATGCGCATGAGCGCCCATCCTGAGGCGTGGCTTTGCAAGTGTTAAGGGATTCCAGAGTCGAGACGAACACGTGCGCAGGCTTTCAGTTACCGCACTGACGTATGTTCTCGGTCGGGTACCCCACGCTGGAAGGATCTCCTTCGACAATGAGCAAAAGGTCGCCACGTCTTCCGAGCCAGTTATGTCCGAAGGCTGCAGTTCAATCTGTCCAATCTGCGTGACGTGATATGATGGATGACTGTCGTTGGACCGGCTGATGACGACTTTTCCAGATTTGAAAACGTCGAGCTGAGCTAGATATTGTTGAATGAGCGCAATTTAGGACTGACCAAGTGACGGCTAGAAATAGGAGAAGAACGTAGCACTCGGCTCTTCTCTTTCCATCGATCTGCCTCATCCGTCGAAAAAAACAAAAAACTCATAAATGTATTCGTCTATTTATTCACTCGCTGCAGCAATTGAGGTTGTTTCTTTACTCCCAAAAGTATGCAACGAAACTCAAGAAAGCGAATCTTCTAGCGCTACAATTCAATTCAACGTGGGTGCAAACTGAAGGTCAGAGAGTAGCGGCGAATGGGTCTGGTGAAGTAGAAGTGCCGGCGATCAAATCTTGCGGCAAGCTGCTCAACTACTATACAGTATACATGTACTCGTTGCGCGAAAACGTGCACGCCATGGTGATGCACAGTGGTCATTCAGTAGGAGTTTGCTGGAGACAGACACGAAACTGCTATACTACGTGAGCAGTTTATATTGCATGGCGAGCGATTCTCAGCTTGACAAAGGTAAGCTTGGGAGGCTTCATGCCCAGCGTCTAGCTGGATTGACGTTACAATACTATTGTCCCAGTAATGTGGTGCGTGAAAGGCATATTGCTCAAGAAGATAAGACACGCGAAGCGCGTGGAAAGAGGACCGGTAGTGTCTACGCACCACTCAAGGTACAGAGACACCATCATGATAGTCAAACTTCAATAGAGTCTGTCAGATGTGCTGCAAGTGGTTGACCATGACTTGAAGACGCTTTGTGCAGGGGTTCTGCGCCATTGGGCAGGTGATGCAATGATATCGTATAGAGAGCATCACAAAACAATACCACTTGTGGTGAACGTGAACAGTGCTGACGTGGTCTGGAAGAAGTGCGCATTTGTGTGTGACAGCTCCTTGAAGAACTCCAGTATCTGCATGATGCACATATGGCCACCAAGGCTTCAAGCCAGAGGACACTCACTGCAATAGGACAGCACATACAAACTCATCCTTCAATGTCGCGCGATTTTTGTCAGCCGACAACAAGAAGCCAAGCTGACGTTCTTTCGTGGTGAGACATCTCTTGCTACATTGTAGATCGTCTCAATCGGTCGCATAGTGCTACGGCTATTGGTGCTGTGGCTATTGGCAAAATCCTACACATACCTTTGAGGTGGTAGGATGTGAGCAAGCAAGACCTGATGCTTCCGATTCTCCATCTTTCTTGTGCGTTGCCGCTTCTTGTGCAAAGGGCAACAGTAACATGGCCTTCTTGTTGCGCATGGTCAATAGCTACTGTCTTTGCGAGTTCCAGTAGAGCTCGACAAGTTGCACTGGTGGTGCAGGACTGTGCAGTATCACGTGATTATTAGACGAGACGAAAGTGTGATAAGTAAGTCAAAGAAGGCTGCAGACACACTGGTCGTTTCCTCTACGAAACGGATAGTGATAACGAGATGCGTGAAGTATGGTATCGACATCGTATGTGGCCGAATAAAAAGCCACCATTACGATTTTTAACGAAGATGTCGACGAATAAGCTCTATCTAGTGCGCGCCCAGTTGTCATAGGTGGTCTAGTCCAGAGGATTCGAATCATGTTTTGGATATACGGTACCCGTTCCCGTTGGCGCTGAGGTAGTGTTAAGGAGGTTGGCACGGTTTATATACGTTGTAAGGTTTGCGAGCCACAGTGTTGCCGTGACTGTTATGAAGCGAACAACTTGAGTGGTGGTGTGAAAGTCCTGATCAATAGGATGTGAAGAAAGATGGACGTGGATGGTATTGCTTGTGCAACATCAAGAAGGTGCGATCAACACACTTGGCAGGTACAAAGATCGTCTCATGGCTAGCACCGGAGATGTAGGCTACTACTATTTCGATCGTCACGATAGCTTTCGATCTTGGAATAGGCAAAAGATTTAATTTGTGGTAGACATGATGAATGCCTTACGTTCAGTGTCGGAAACAGGCTATTACACATTGCAGATACTAAGGTCACCTTAGACTTAGTTCCACAGCGTCCAGAGCCTGGACACTCGACTGTGCATCCAAGCCAACAGATTGTTGTAACTGTGCTAGCAGCCACCGACGCCTGCTTCGCCGATCAGTAGTTCAACTTGGAAATTCGTTACTCTCCGCAAGTGCATCGAAGCTGCAAACTCGTGGCTCCCGTCATTCGTCGTCTCTGTTTCGATCATGTGACGCTCTGTGTATGCTATTAGCCCACTTCTTGTATTGAGTTCTCAAACGTGCTCGCACCGTGAGAGGCGATTACTGTCTGCAAATCGAAGACCCAGACTCGTGATGACACGCTCTGGACTACAGACGTTCGTACTCTCACCCTTGCATCGCTAGCGTAGCAGACTAAGGATGCACTCCTCGACGTCCACACTTTTTCATTGATTGAATCACAATAGAAGCTAGTTTCAAGCAAAAAACGCCCATGCACCGTTTTCAAGCTCGGTAGTAGCCACTTGCTTCTACCGGATTTACGCATGGCCTGTCACGAGAAGTGACACGGACGACGCTGTAGTAGGCTGCCCGAACAGCAACTTCCGACCACCGCTCGTACATCTCAAGTCTGTGACCTAGCGCTCATACGGACCGATCGATGCTGTCGACACTGACCTTTTTCTGGACGACACGAGACGCCTAGCAGCTTACCATTTGACTCAGTATCGTTTATCCATCAGTCAGGAACGCCCAGTCTACATGGCCGTACAACACAGTTGACAAAGACGGGATAGAACGTTGGCCTCACGTCTATGTTTGGCTCGCAGTCCCACATAATATTTTACTTGCGGAAACGGCGTTACGCCAAGCTCATTGTAATGGACCGCTAAGCTGTAAACATTTATGGTCCGCTCGATTGGTTTTCTTCGGCTCTCCGATGACCAATAGAAGAGTCTGTTTGTCAGGCGCAACAGTGTGGAGACGAAGAATGCGCTGTCGGATCGGCAACTCAAGCGGGGATAGTGGCTCAGGTGGAATGGACGACAGTTCCACAGATTAGCTGAGTACTTGCAGATCACCTAGCTAGCAATTGCTCTTTTCAATGGCGCGGTGTTGTTGGGCTCAGCAATGCTGAAATTACAAGAATCGCACACGAAGGAGAAGAAACCGAATAGCTGGAACTCATTAAACTCCGGCTGCAATAGCAAACCCCAATGTTTCTGGTCCGGATAGGGCGTAGGTACGTGTATTCGCTATCTGTGCTTTCTAAGATAACATAAGGGTGTCGAGCCTTTCAATTTTGTCACTCAACAATGTCAATAGAGCAATAAATTGTCATCTTGTTCACATCCCATGGTATCAATGTAGCGCCGACTGGTACAGCCTACATACTTCGCATACGCAGCACCCGAGCATATATGTGTGATGTGCATCAATCAGTGCAGAATATCAACAGTAGGTTAGCACTGTCTCGAAATAAAAGCTCACGGCAAGCCAAATTCGCATGCTGTCGCGGGATATCGCTTGAAAACGAGTGTGTAGCGTCTCCTCACGGAGCCTTCTCTCCTCAAGTCGCATTGAAGCAAACGAAATGCGTTTGAGTCAGCTAGAGCCAGGCTAATGAAGTCTTAGTTTAGTGCTATCCGCCAACGTCCTAGTCAACGGCTCGATTGTCGTGACCGCAAGTTACGCATCACGGACAGGAGCAATCGCATTAGGCACTAGGCTCTAGGCGCTCTTCTGCTGCGAGTGTAGGACATGTATGCTGACCAAACAAGCTTGCACTTGCAACAACGTGCTGTATGGAAAGCTCGGGTCAGAATGTCGGACCAAGGAGAGGTAAGTGGTGGTTGGGCTCAGCACGTGCCGATACTTTTACTGGTCCAATTGCGACCGCAGCTGCATAGGATATTCCATCCACGAATGATCGATGGGTGCTACAACGAACTGGTAGAGATAGATCACGATACCAAAGCGTATACGTGTCCAAAGCTTCGAGGACGCACTTGCTTGCTCGACCGCTGCGATATAGTCGGTGGAAAGTCGTAAAACAAAGCAATCCTGTACTGATTAACGCTTGTAGCTCTTTGCTGCTAATGAGCAGCACAAAAGGACAATTGATACGGGAGTCGATCGGTACATGCAAAAAAGTGCAGAATGTCACACCCACTTTGCGAAGGTTTCAGCTCATCATTGAAAATGTAGGCATCACGGCCGAAGTGTAAATGATCGTGTGAAAGTTACGCTGGTATGATCGTAGTTGCAAAACGTTGATGGCGACCGCACAGTGCTATATGAGGGAAGACATCTCTGTGAAGTCTTCGATGACAATGTCGAATCAGAAGGGGTCAATACGTCGAGCAGTAGTCCTGAGTAGGCGGACCATCGGGCGCCTTTGTTGTGAAACTGCGCGGAGGTTGGCGATGGATCTGGCCATTGCAGTTGAGACCACGAAACATATGCGCGTCAATTGCCTAGCCCGTGCACATGAAACGGATAGCAAAAACCATCGGTCTGATGAGACAATTCTGTCCAGCAGTAAGTTGTATGGATGGAGAGTGCTTGGACGATAAACTGGGGGGGTTGCGATGCGCCTAAAGCCCTCATAGATAGCGAGCGATGGACCATAGATCCACGTAAAACCAGTATTTGATTTGGCTGTATCGTTGTGGCTTCTACCATGTCAGGAGTCAAAACATGGCAATGCCGACAGTTTGTGATGGCAATGCGAATAGTGGCGTATTGTTTGCATACAAACGGGGATGTGACCAAGATCGATGCTGACGGACGGATGAAGCAGTCATGGAGATCGCGGCTTTTCAACATGATCACAACGTCACTTCCGGCAGTCTGTCATGAGATGTCGAACGGAAGCTCACAATCAGCTTTGCGCGATACTGGCGACTTCTACCTACTGTAAGTACATGCACCTGTTGGTGGGGCTGAAAGGAGGCAGTCTTGCCTCTATTTCGGCCGAATGCTGCTGCGCGTGATACGTAGTCCTGCTAGAGGAGAATCATTAGAGGAAACACTGGAGTCGACCGCAATATAAACATGTTTTGGAAGTGACGGAAAGCTCTGTGCGGTATCGAATGCGCTTATTGCGATGTGCGAACTACTGCACATGTCATTGGTGTCCCTGTATTGTGCAGCGTCTGACAGGTGGTGTGGATACAGGAAGGCGCGGATCGTGTCATTGTAGCTTGCGTTCATGGTGTACATTTAGTCACTTCATTCCGCCGACATTGAGCGTAACCGACGGTTGCGTACCAGTGAGTGACATTGATGTAGTCGATAGTATAGCGCTAGTGCGCAAGTAGGTCTTCGACAAAGCACTGCTGTCGTGAGCAGCACGCACCTGTACATGGTGTTACCTTCACAGAATCCAGGTGTCTGAAAGCCATACCCATCCAAGACGCATTCATTTGGCTTGCATGCTAACCAAGCATACTAACTGATCGAACCAAGCGCTAAAACTCGACCAGCACATCGTTGTCAAGTTAGTGTCTCATAACCACAATGCACATGACTTGCCGACGTCAAGTTACATTGTCGCCTCGTGACTTGCAGAGCCACGCGGGTACCAAAATTGTCATTCTACAACACATCCGGCACACATTGTCGCTCAACCTCAACCAACGCAGACTCGACGATCGCAAGAAGTTCTCCCCTGACCTTGATACCGCCATGCTTGCATCATCGCCCATATTCCTTCAGTACAGAGCGCGGTGAGGCTTACGCTTCTGACTCTTTCCTCCCGTTGGTCCGTTGGAATCGTTCTCACTTGACACTCTGATGAGAGCTCGGCGACAACGGCGAACCATATAGATGAGAATGGCCACCAATAGTGACAGCACCAAGAAGAAGAGAATGAGTCCAAACGGTTGGGGCACCAGCTCAAGCAGCATCAAGAGCACGTTGATGAGTGGTCCGGCAAACAACACGAGCATGAAAAAGATAGCGCCGAGCAAGAACGAGGCAAAGGCACGATAGTACTTCGGCCCCATCAATGCCTCTAACACGTAGCAGGGATTCCACATAGCAGAGAGGTGCAGGCGGTCCACAGGCTCTGGTAAAAACGGAAAGTTGTTCGGCTCGCCACGCCCTAGCCCAGCCGACCGTACGTCCGCTAGATGCTTAGGCAAGATTTCGAGCGATATCAGTAGCTCACCCGCACGCAAGCGGTCGCCCGTGCGGGAGTCACGAGTCGTCATTGTAAGCCAACTGGCATCTTCCGGGTCATCTCCCATGCCTAACCGATGCAAAAAGGAATCGACGAGCGATTTCGCATTCTCCATGCTGGCGTCCTCCTCCTCGTCAGTTTCGTTGTTACCGTCAGAGGCAAGATTTTTGCAAAGTAACGGCTCTTTGTCGATAGGTATTCCGTCTTCATCAGGGATCGAGAGCACAACTTCGTCTGAACGAGGAGAACGCAAGCGAGGTGCAGACGTGGCGTCTTCCGTACCAGAGTACCCTGAGTAACGAGAAGGTCTTTCGTACGGCAACGTTTCACTTCCGCGGATGCGCACTGGCTTGGGTTTGGCGAACACATTTACAGCTTGTTTCGTCTTGAACGCCATCTTGAGAAACGGCGTCAGGTCCACCACTGAATCAGCAAGACAGTCATCGTAAACGACGTCGCGATCCCACATCTGAAAGTGAAGGCAACCACGATCGGCTTCCCGTTTTGGGTCCAGCGGTAGCTCAATGTCAAATTTCATGCGCCAGTTGAACGACGCACGCCCGTGCTTCGCTCGCCAGTGTGTATCGGTAGTTTGAGACTTGTCGTCACGATTTTGGAGCCAGCATTTTACAAACAAGTCGCTCAGATCGGTAAAGTCCCCTGCTGTCACATTCTTAGCTTTGTAGATTATCACGCGCACTTCGAATGCCTGCGAAGGTGGCAGCGAGATGTCCAGCGGCTTTGCTACTTTCATCTCAGCTCCACTCAGGATGTCCACCCACAGACGGAGGCTGCCTTGCGGAAGCGTACTGGAAGGTGCGAATAGAGAACGAACCTCCAGTGGCTTGCGGTGCTCGGGCCGGTCAATCTGACGACCGAGATTCTGCCACTTCGCGTCAAACCATCGATCCTCTAAATCGATGAGAGTTGCGCCCACAAAATCATCGCCATAGACCGTATTTTCTACGGCAGCGCCCAGTGCTTTACTCAGGCCGCTTGGAAACGTAGGTATTGCGAAAAAGTCATAGTCCAGCACCTCCAGCTTCAACTCGGACGCGCCTGGTAGATCCGCCTTGAACTCGTACATCTTGTGGAATTTTGGCGTCAGCGTCTCCGATTGATGATTGCTGCGGTCACTAAACACCTGCTCATGGCGTCTCCCATCGCCAAGACTCACTCGCAAGTATGGATCGCAGCTGTTATTTACGTCCTTTGGAATCAAGTTCGCCGCATCCAAGACGTAGACGCGGACAAGGTATGGCCGCGGGTTCAGAAACTGGTCCAAATCGAAAAGAGGGGTTTGGTCTCGCGTTTTCAGAATACGCACGGTGCCTTTAAACTTCCCGACTGAACGGTAGCTCATCAAGGACTGTTCACTTGAATGGCATCCACTATGTGCTGGCATGGAACCTCGAAAAAGTGCATAGGTCTCAAATGGAGAGTCGAGCGTATCTTCCAGCTCGCCATCAACGACATCACGCTGTTGCATGTAGTGCGGAAGTTCGTCTTCGTCGTCGTCATGTCTACGCCAAAACGACTAGGCGAGCTCGCAGCTGCCGATATGCCCTTTTCGCGTGGTTTACATGATGTCAATGCTTCTGGCAATATACTTGACGACTGAGCGCTCAGTACTTCGGAGGGGATCGTGCCTGGGTATGTCGATAGATCGTCGCCGCAATCGACGTACGGGTTTCTCCTACGGTCGCTTTTACTACACTCGTCTTTGTACAAAGGATTCGGCTGTCCGTTCGAATACGGCATCTTTTTGCTAAGGTCTATGGAACAAACACCGATCACCGGCTTGTAGAATCCACCAAAGAGTTGGTCGTACACCGTTATGCTAAGGCGTGGTGCGAAAAGCACATCAATCGGCATTTTGACTGGAATCACAACCCGTTGCAAAAAATTTGGGTTCCGACTACTCGGCTTGGAAGATGGGTTTGTAAACTTGGGCTGGTTTGTTTTGGTCATTCCGCCAACTTCAAACTTTGCAAAGGGGGTATTGATAGGCGCAAAACCATTTGGTTGTAAGCCACGACATCCTAGACACATGATCTCGACAAAAGCATCTTCGGTAGGTGGACAAATGGACTCAGGTGGTTCTACAATGACCCCCGGTGTGTCTTTCTTGATAAGGTCGAACGATAAGAGCAGCTCACCTTGGGTATCACCAGGTTTTTCATAGCTTATGGGAAACCACTTCGGACGCGGAGCCGAATACTCGCCAATCGAACGAATCTTGGAATAATCAGACGAAGACATCTGCGGAAATTCTCCCAAACTCAGCTTCAGACCTCCGACATAGTCGTCCGCATCATATCGATCCCAGTCATAAATCTGGAGCGACACTTTGGGTAAGAACTTCTCATCCTGGGGTAGCTCCACATCGAGAACGACCGTCTCGTAGAAGCAAGGGTCTCGCGTTGACGTTCGTGTGCTAACTCGGCCTTCAGATCCGACACAGACCACCTTCACATAAGGGTCCAGCAAACCGTCGACGTCAGTAGCTGGTAAGCATTTGCCTTGGAAAACATGAACAAAGAGCACGTATTTCATGTACTGCACTGTCGTGCTCGCGTACTGTCGCCAACGCTGCGCAGCCTCTTCCTCGTTGCGCCTAATCTGAACCGCATCTTCTAAGCGCAGATTCATCAGAATATTACCGTTAAAGTCGTGATCATTGAGCTCGTTTAGGACCTTGTCTTCATTAAGCACGACCCACTGAGGTGGTGCCATAGTCTTAAGTGTCTCAGAGTCTTGACAAAACAGATCTTGCGCCTTAAAACGAGCGAAACAGATAGGCCGTGACTCGCTCATGGTCGGACGGACAAGATGTACAAACACGTCAGGCACTTGGTCTAAGCTTGCGGGAAGTTCCACGTCCACGATATCGAGATACTGGTTGAAGTGGCAAATACCGGATAAATTGTGGACTCGCGAGCTTTCTACAGTATGGCGACCCACTGAAATCTTCAACAGCATTCGCGCGTTTCGGTTCCAGTTCGTTTTGCTCGTAAAAGCAGGAATCTCCGTCCCGTAGAATAGTGCGGCGCGCAGAGTGTACCTCTTCATCTTTGGCCTGATATCCGTGTTCAGCACTGTCCTTACGTGGGCGTTATCATTTACTGATTGCGACCCATTCTCGGTTCGTAGCGACAGCAAAACACGTCCCCGGTACATACTGGCTTGTGCGGGGCGGTTCAACATATATTGAGAAGGGCCCGAATTGGCATCGTACCCTACAGGGGGTCCGTACAAGTTTGCCCACACGTACTTAAATAGGTCGGGGTAACGCTGTACCTGCTTGAACGAAAACGGTGGCAGAACGTTGGCAAGAAGCTGGTCTGTTGCGGTCATATCCCAATCCCATACAGACAAGAAGATGTTGTCGCTCATTGTCGGCAAGAGCACGGGGAACCACAGCTCTTGATTGTATGTCACTTGTAAATTCTCACTTCCCTTGACCGTCACCTTCTTCGTCTCCAGCACGTCTTGACCAGCAAAGTATGCTCGAATGTATCCATCGATTCCTCCATGCATCATCATGCTGTAGTCCATGTCGGGTAGTTCTTCAGCTCGATAAATCGTAATGACCAGGAAACTCAATGTCTGGGTCACGCGGGGAGGAACAAGGACCATGGAACTGATGTCTGCCTTTGTCTTCACCAGATGTTCGTCCGGGTCTCTATCTTCTGCAGTATTATACAGCTTCATCTTGTCTCCAGGTCCTAACACAGCAAGTGAAAGTCTACAAACAAGTCGACCGTCCATTAGCGACAGAACTTCCCAGCAAATGAGACTACAAGACTTACAAAACGTAGCCTTGAATGCAGTCACTGTTGGTTGCTCCACTTCCGACCAAAGCCACCCACTTTCGCTTGAGTTCATGATCAGGCTGGAAGTAAACGTACGGGATGTCAATCGAAAAGAAACCCACGAGATCATCGAACACTCGAGCTATCGCCGGCCGATTCGTGGACGAGCCTGGACCGTCAGCGTCGAACACCGATATCTGGACGCTTCCTTGTTGGATCGTTTCTTTGTCTAAATTTTTGAAGTCGAAGTACAAGTACTCATCGAAAACACACGAGAGCTGCTTCTGCTTCACCATAGTATGCTGCCGTTGGCCAAGGCACTCAACTGACACGACGGGATCACACAAACCATTGGCATCCATCGGCTGGAGATCACGAACTTCAATGATCCGCACTCGAATCTGATAATCACCTGATTGGAACTGTACCTTGGACAGCTCAGTCAGCATCTTTTGACGCTCTTCTTCTTCTTTCTTTCGCTGGGATTCAGCTTCTGTTTGCTTCGCAATGATTTCGTCATCGTCCCCATCACCGGCTGTCCCATCGTCCGTATGGTGGTCACGATTAGCACCGCCTCCTTCATTGTCGTCCCCGGCGCCATATATTTCACTTCCCAAGCCATATAGCTCGCTTTCACTGGGAACTTCAGTGACGTTGTCAATCTCTCCTTGCTCAAAGCTGCTAACATCTTGGTCAAGGTACTTGGCTTCAATCGCAAGACAGATTTTCCCACTTCCACCGTCCGCTTCGCGGTTCAGTCTCAAGTCACTGCCAGCGTTTGTGCTCTTCGCATCTGATTGTTGCATCAGCACCAGCCAAAACGTTTGCTTCTTGCCGAACGAGCGCTTCGTGAACTCGTCTAGATCGATGACACATCGTCCCATAAAGCTGCTCGTAAGTAGATCGCTGTCTTTCACCACCAGTTCCAAAAGCTGCTTCTTTTCGGGAGCAACCGAGAAGTAAAATCGCTGTCGCCACGTCGGATGCAGTGTCTGCTGCTGCGTCCTCGTCTGCTGTGACACGTTCTTTGTGCACGTGACAAGCACGTACGGGTCACTCGTTGCCTCAGGGCCTGTGCCATCACAAGCAGGCAGCCCAGTCGCCTTTAGGATCGTCACGACATAGACATTTGGAGGTCGTGCGAACGGTCGAGCTTCATTTCCGTCCGCATTCGGCACTGACTCAGTAGCTGCGACACTTGCAGCATCACTCGTCGTCTCTGCTGCCGTCTCGTCTTCTTGTGTTGCCGCAGGTTCCGCTAGTCGACTGCTCTTTGGAGACACGGGAGCTGCCAGTTTCGTGGCCGTTGGCGTCGGCGCCGTAGCAGTTTCAGTTCGAAGCGACGGCGTCGTGTACTTTGGCTCGTACGTGGCCTCAACCACCAGCTCTCCACAACCCTATGACGGATCAACACACCGAACAATTGTCCATTGGACCATAAGAAAAGTCCAAAACAGGGAACAAGCAGAGGAGACAGAAAGAAGAAGCAAAACGGCACGTACAGCTCCTGTAGCGTCCACTAGCGTCAGTTCATGAGTCGTCTGCAGCCACAACACAGCGTCAATCAATGCTGTGACACCCACACGAACCCCTTTCCTCTCTCTTTGTCGCGTACCGTCGCCTCGGGCGTCAGCTCCTCAATCTGTAGCACGGCGCTGCCCAGCAGCACGTCCCTCCCGCGCTCGTTCATCCCAAAGACTTTCAACTTCACGGCAGTGCCCAGCGGCTTCTTGACACCAAACGTAAAGTGCTGCATCCACTCTGGCGTCGTCGTCTTCGCCTTCGCGGCAGTTCGTAGCACCACCTCACCGCATTGCGCTTGGCAGTCTATGAAGCGGTCGGTAAGCAAAGAAATCGAGAGCGAGAGCGTGTCGGCCGAGTCAAGGCAGCCGAGACACGTACGTACAGGGATCGAAAGCCGCTTCTGCGCCGCCTGTTGCCTGTGCGACGCCCACGCCCGCAGCGCTCTTTACCACGAGACGCACGCGCGGCGTCACCACGTCCGCCATCTCTCGCCTTTCCCTTTGTTTCGCTTTCCCTTCGTTTCCTTCCCTTCGTTTCCCTTTCCCTTTGTTTCCTGTTCCGCGTTGCCGCTCCTCGTTTCCCTTCCGCGTTTCCTTTCCTTTGCGCGAAGATCGCAGTGTGTCCTGATTTCCTTTGTGCAGCCAATCAGAAGGCAGCAGAGTGATGGTCCGTTTGATGGACTGGCAGATAACCCACACACGCGCCAACTCATGACTGCTCGTCGCCGTCTGCGGCTGCTGCTGCTGCTCTCGGCGGTCGCTCTCGTCACCGCGTCGGCGCTAGAGCCCCGCACTGGACACGCGGAGCAGCTTGTCGCGGTCACGCTCGTGGACGGCACGACGCGGGAGCTGACGGCCGTCGAGTTCAACGAGCTGGCACAGCAGCGCGCAGCTGCCCAGCCGCCGCTACCGCAGGACAAGAGCGACGGAGCGGACGTGCGAGAAACCAAGACCGCGCAGCTCGCGACGCTGGACGCGCCGTTTGCGCTGCACATTGCGCTCGCGAGACGCGCGTTCCACGAGGTCCAACGACATGGGTATGCCCAGGGGTACGCGCTGGCCGGGTATAGTGAGCAGGCGACGCGGTCGGCCGCGAGCGACTACTACGTGGAGCTCGTGCTGCACGCCACAAGGGACGCGACGAGTGGCGTCGAGGCCAAGACAGGCACTGGCACAAGGCGACGACGCGACGACGCGCCGCTGCGGGTGGAAGTGCAGCTGCTGCTGGACGCCCAGCGTGCGTGGCAAAGCTGCTGGTCTCGGGGGCGTGTGGCGTGGCGTCTGACTTGACGTTTGTATGGTCGTGTCCGTGTGGTATTGGTTGACACTTTTTACGTGGCGCAATAGAGCGCGTGTCGGTGCTGGCGGCGTGGGAACTGAGCGACGAGGAGCCACTGCGGGGGCAGAAGCGGACGCGGCTGGTGCAGCTGGCGATCCAGCCCACAGCTGCGATGCTGGAGCGCGAAGCGGCACGCGACCGCAGCAAACCGGCCGTGGCGACGTGGCTCTTAGCTGGCGGGCTGGGGCTGGTGGCTGCAGGAGTGCTCGTCATGTACAACACGCGTAATCCGGTGCCGGCGCCCAAGCCGCGGCGTCGGTCCAGTGACGTCTGGGAGCTCGTGGACGAGCACGACCGACCGCTTAAGCTGAACGACCGTGAGAAGCGCAAAGAGGAGTGACAGAAGCGTGCTTCTCGTGCGTGAGGACGAGGGCAAAGTCGACGAGCGCGTGAGCTGGGCCACGTCTTGAGACGAGTGAAGGGCCAAAGAGAAGACGTTGGTGTTGTCTGCATGTCTGACTGCCATTCTAAGCGCCTCGCGTGGAAGTGAGAGTGCGCCAACTCATGCCCCTGTTGTGCCGCAGCTTGTCACACTTGTCGAGTCACAGGCTCAGCGTCCAGGTCGTCGCTGTCAACTTGTCAAACACAAGGCGGACGGTCTAAAAGTAGGTCGGTCGACCACCCGCTTGTCGGTCGGTGAAGTAGCAGATCGGTCGGTTGATGCTCTGGTCGGTCGACTACCCGCTTGTCGGTCGGTGAAGTAGCAGATCGGTCGGTCGATGCTCTGGTCGGTCGGTCAGTCAAGTAGCTGGTCGGTCGGTCGGTCGGTCGGTCGAGGAAGCAGCCGGTCGGTTGGGCACCTGGCCACACGCCCCCGTCTTTCGTCTCTACGGTATCTATCCTGTACCGCACCCACTGTGTACACTTGCCGCAATCGACGAGCCCTTACCGCAACAGCATTCCGGGGCACGACTGGGCGTGACACGCTTGCATCAGACTGGCCAAAGCGATCATGTCGCATATGTAAAGTCGAGCGCGGCCGCACCTCTCTGGCTCTCGTTGATTGGCTGACGCTTTGTGCCCTGTTTCTGCCAATCGCAGCGGCTTCTTCGTCGCATACTCGAGTCAAGTGACGCGTTTCTCGCCTAATCAGACGAGCGGCAGCCAGTCACCACTTCTCATCGGGCGATGGCGACGCTGAGCGTCGGGATCACGGGCTTTGGCCTCGTGCGCGACGGAGTGCAACCAGACTGCGTGGTAACGTCGCGTGTGTATCTGCGTTTTACGCTGTCGATTGTGTGGTGCTCACGTCTCTTCCTCTCACTGTTGTGCAGGTTTTTCTCGGTACTGTTCAGCAAAGCAGCAGTAGCAGTAGCTCCTGGACGATTTACCGGCCGTTCGAAGCGTTCCAGCGACTCGGTCAGCAGCTCAGCATGATCTTTGGACAGATGGCGCCCGTCTGTCCGCCTCGTCTGTTTGACTTGCGCTTGCCGGACTCGCTTGAGAAGGCGCGCGTGGACTTGAGCTTGTGGATGCTGCAGCTCCTGCAGCACGCGCCGATTTACCAGTCGCACGTGTTTGTGGACTTTGTTAGTGCTGACGCCAACGTGCCGCCGCACGGACTGCAGAATGCGGCAGCGCTGGGGCCCACAACAATTGCATCTGCGCGCGGCGGCGGCGGGAATATTGGCGACCTCGATATGGACGAGATGTTCAACTCTGCCACGGACGACGATCCGCGCTCGCACGATGAGCTGCACGATGACGACGTGAGTGCCATGTTGTCGAACAGAGTTGTTGTTGTTGCTGGACGGGGTATTGAATGCTGGAAGGAGCTATGTGTTGTGTGGGTGTAGATGTTCCAATTTGACTACAGCACCGACATGTCGAGTGCGGGACTGGACCAGCAGACGCTGCTGGAAGAGACACAACTGCAGCATGCACAGCAGGTGCGCGAGCAGAAGAAGAGCGAGAAGGTGACGCTGGAGGATTTTGTCATGATTAAGGTCATTGGCAAGGGAAGTTTTGGCAAGGTGCTCCTCGTGCGCAAGCGAGACACGGGACTCATTTACGCCATGAAAGTGCTACGGAAAGAGAACATCATCAAACGCAATCAAGTGGAACACACGCGGACGGAACGTCATGTGCTGGGCTACGTGCGGCATCCGTTCATTGTGGGACTGAATTATGCGTTTCAGACGTCGGAGAAATTGTACTTTGTGCTCGACTATTGCGCAGGAGGGGAACTTTTCTTTCACTTGGGCAAAGTACAGCGGTTTCCGGAGCACCGTGCACGCTTCTACGCCGCAGAAATCACGCTGGCTATCGAGTACGTGCACAATTTGGACGTCATCTACCGCGATTTGAAGCCGGAGAACGTCTTGCTTGATGAGAATGGACATATTCGCCTGACGGATTTTGGTCTCTCCAAGGAAGGGATCCAGGACGACTTCTCTGGTGCCAATTCCTTCTGCGGTACACCCGAGTACCTCGCGCCTGAGATTTTGAACCGCTCGGGACATGGCCGGGCCGTGGATTGGTGGTCACTCGGCGCATTGCTGTATGAAATGCTGACTGGTTTGCCTCCGTTCTACTGCCGTGACCGCGATCGTCTTTTCGAGAAGATCCGCAAGGGTGATCTTAGTTTTCCCAAGTATCTGTCGCCGAACGCTAAGGATTTGTTGAAGAAGCTGCTGGAGCGCGACCCGACGGGACGTCTAGGAACGGGCCCGACCGATGCCGGTGAGATCAAGAACCATCCGTTCTTTGCAGAAATCAAATGGAGTGCGCTTGCCGCTGGACAAGTGCCACCTCCATGGCGCCCCACGTTTTCCGGTGCGCTCGACACGTCACAGTTTGACCGCGAATTTACTGACATGCCCGTGGTAAGCCCGGATAACCAAGTGCGAGGTATGGCAATGGCTATGGGTCGGCGGTCCGCAACTGGCAATGCGTACGGGAGCAGTCTGACAGGGAACGACCCGTTCAAAGGCTTTACTTACACTGAAGATTCTTACCTGCAGGACGGTCTACCGAGCCGCAGCCCAGGTATACGAGGAAGCGGGCGTGTGCGGCACCACAACATGTGACGAGGTATGTAGGACCTCAGCTGGCTTGATGGTGGACCACAACAAATGAAGCAGGGGTCAAGAGCAGCAGAAACGCAGGGAGTGATCGGGTATCGAGGCAGGCAAAGCAGTGTACCATTGTGTAACAACAAGACCGACGCTTTTGGCGTAGTTGAGGGAGACGGCAGATGCAGGCAGTCTCAGCATGTAGGACAGAAGAAACGATACGATGACCAAAGGGTATGTACATATATTTGCCAACTTCCATTGCCACGGGCTGTCGTGAACATGGCGCTGGGGGCGGCGGCTTGACCGTGCAAGATGTTTCAGTCGACAAGGAGGCTGCATTTGGTCCTTATGTACCTACTAAGACCGCGTTCGACAGACGTTTTGGAGCCTTCGAGATCACTCTGGTGATCGTTTACACTACGACTGTGAATCGGCCCCGCAGCTTCTTCTACATCCGGTGTCTCAGCTTGAACACCTGTTGGTGCAGAAATGTGGCAGTCGGCTCCGGACACCTGAGTTCTTTTCCTACCAGTGAAAGTTTGACTGAGCTGCCAAACTTTCATCCGTGGATTTGCAGTCCAGCGCACTCTCGCGCATCCTTCTTTGACTCGTCGTATTGGCTTCGTCTAGCCACGAGTTGGCAACAACGCGGTGACTTTGTTTTGACGTCCAAATGTAGCGAACAATAGTACACGGAAGGTCAAATCCGGTCGCGTTTCGCGCGTCTTGATTGAGTGGGTCGTGTGCTGTTCGGGAATGTGGCCCTTTCGATAGCCACCATGCGACACGTTGGCTGAGGTCTTCAAACGACGAAACAGCTTTTGCGCTTGCACGAGATACAATTGTTTCAACCTGTGCGTCCGGCGTACCGAAAAATAAATTACCTGTCTTTCGACGACGTTGAAAAGTGTCCATCATTGTAGCGCAACAAAGTAATACGTGGCAGTCAATTCCGATACTACTGTTGCTGCAACGCTGTCGTTATGACGGCACAAACCGGAGATGGCTTTTCCGTTTGGGAGCTAGCAGGTGTCGACAAAGCACCGAATACACCGTCGGTTTGACGAGAGGGTCAAAATGCAACGCTCGGCCATTCGAGTGTGTTTGTAGTATCGACAATCCAGTAGGTTTTAATCGTTCATGAGGATGCCACGCTTTCATGACGAAGGCAGTCGAAGGATGCGCCGAGTCCGACATTGCTCCCTGACGAGGAGTACGGCGTTAGCGATACGGCTACGTGGACCGGTTCATGCTCTTTACGTGTAGCAAGCACTTCAAACACAGCGTCGGCGCGTGAGTATCACACGCATGTAAATGCCGATCAGAAGACAAGACGCGTATTGTGGCCCGGTAGTTGTCGACTCTTTCTCCACGCCAAGCGTTGTCCATGCTCACCTTGTGAGGATGAAGTACCAAGAAGAATACCGTGTGACAGCCTTGCGATGAACTCGTTACGGATCGTGCCCATGCTGTAACGTGATAAATGCTACGAATTAGGTGTGCGTGGTACAAGAGATCGTGGTGAAGAGTCAGCGCCTTGAGTACAATCTTGCGCAGTGCATGCAGAAGTAGCGCTCGTTATGAAGACAGATATCTCGTGCGATATATTGAGCCGCAAAAACGGACGTTGTAAATGGGGAAGTAACTAATTGTCTGAGGCGTGTTGTCTGTAGCCCGAAGAACAAAAGCTGGAACTATTTTATGGCTCTGCCTATTGATATTTATTGATGAATGTCTGGGTATCAGTCAAAAGACAATGAGCATGCTCTCAATGTGGCATTTATGACGATAAGAACGACGCTATGTCTACTAATGTTTATGGGATCGAGCAGAGAAAAGTGCTACGGCGATGGACCGGGTAACTGCGTGTGGAGCTGTACATAATAGTTTCGGGCTGCAAAGAAGTTATGCTGACAACAAATACGTATTTGATTACCGGAAATGTCGATGGTCAAGAAGGCAACGACAACGCTCAGGCATCTTGCCTCCAAAGCACCGCATGGAAGAAAGATTGCTTGTATCGTGCGAAAACTCAAAGCGACGTTGAGCAAGCTGGCACAAGGCAAATTCTCTGCCTGCGTTCAGTCGAGTCTGCATTGCCTTCACATGCTACAGTCTTCGTAGCTTTATCTTGACAATGTACATCTGAATGATACAAAAAGCTTTGTTAAACACGTTGATGACTCAAGTATGACTATATTTAGTTACAGTTGTACCCGACTCGGTACTATCCGATGGATTCTCAACGGCTGCCGTTGTACGAACTCAGTGCTTCTGTCGCTCGCGACTTCACTTAACTTTTGTCCAACTTACCGCTACTCCTCAGAGATACGCGGCATAATGACCCTCTCGTTCTTCTCTTTTTTGGTGTAATACACCTTGATCATTTTTCGATAAGTTTTACGCAACTTTTTGGCAAGCTCTTCAAGTCCTGGTTCCTGCGCAACTCTTACGAGAAAGTGGTCACTCTCGCCTTTAATTAATCTGGGTATAAACAGAACTTTCGCTGTTTCTTCGATGGAGATAGCATTGATCAGGTTCAATTCTCTCAAGATCTCGGTGTACCGTAGCCACTGTATTGTAGAGCTCCACGATGTGGTAAGTGATTCGGGCTCGTGCAATCTGAGCATCTTGAAAAGTTTATGCGGGCCTACCTCTAATGCCTGCCATATCCTTAGCATTACGTCTGAGGTAGGCGGATAAGATTCCACCAACATCTTATGCATAAAGCTGACAACGCTGTCCAATCTGCGGAGGTGTCGGACTGACAAAAGCCTTTTTGCCGCATCTTTCTGTGTTCCGTCGCGCATCAAGAGCTTCAGTGCTGCTGAATAGTCGAGGGACGCAGGATACCAGCGCTCGTACAAACTAAGGTGCTTCAGCCAGGAAGCGAGCTTATGATCATCCATGGGCCCTTCATGGAGCCCGAGACGTTCGAATTCGCTTTTGGGGCGAATGTCTTGACGAGACAGCATCCTCGCTAGAAACAGGGCATGGTTCGATAATGACCACGGCGATGAAATACCCATTCGATTCTCGTTCTCGTAGTCGTTGCGGTCGAACTCGTTCATTCCTGCGTCATTCAGCCTCGGAATCTCTTGAGTCATCGACGCGTTCGTGTCCGCATTTGAGCTGAATGGCTGCAAAAGACTTTGCGTTCCATCTGTAGCCTCGACATGGTGTGATGAAGTCTTCGGGCTGCGGGCAGCAACATTTGTCCGGTTGCTATCGATCACCGATTCAGTCTGTCCCCATAAAACGATGCAAAAAGCCGTGAGCACGAGGCCAGGCTTGTGCATATTCGCTAAGGCGCCTGACAAGACAAATAGGAAAGTGAAGAAAACTGGCGGCGGTTTTGGTGGAGGTAGTGCGGAAGTTGACCCCCCATCTGCGCCATGTGTTTTTGTCGCGTACGTAAAAATCTGATCATCAACCTCACCTCCGAATACTGACACTGCACGTACGTTTTTTAGCCAAAGCACTGAAATTTGGAGGGAGGATCAGCTTGGGTAAGTCTAGACGGATGAGGAAACTCGGCCCTTCTGCTGGATCAATATGTGCGGAGAAACAGCGTGATGTGCCGTCACAAGCACAGGTAAACGCGGGCGTGCCGTGGACCTTCTTCTAGTTGGTGGCTAGATACGGTGCGCACCACCTATGATTTGTAGCTTTATATTTTCGGCGGCCAAATTTGAAAAAGAAATTCATATATATTCTTCGCCGTTTCCGCAACCCGAAAACGCCTTTTTAACGCTCCCGTTGCACTACACACAATCAGCACGTCATTTGAACGTTTTCAACACCAATCCATGTACTTATCAGTCAACAGATTTACCAACATGCCGCGTGTCAACAAATGGCTACGGCACTTACACATTATGACGGCAGATGCTGTAACGGGGCACTGGTTACTTCGTACTGGAACACCAGTACGGAGTCAAGTCTCACTGACAATAGTGAAGGTCAGTGCCCTACTAGGTATAGGCACTATACAGAGGAAGGGTAAACAACTATGCAAAACTCTAGCTGTAGAAAAAGCATAAGTGTATTTTAATATAAATCAGTCCGATAACTCTTATTCTCTGTTTTGACCTGACTCATTTTATTAATGTAAGTAAACGTATGATGACCTCTACTGGCCACCCATTGCGCGCGTCTAGCAGCGATTGGTGGGTTGATATAGTCACAATATCAACCAATGAGTAGACCCTTCGGTCATTCCAACAATATCACTTCAATCAGTGATGTTTTTAAAGAATATTCGACATAATATTCTATATATACCATTTCGCACAATAGTAACTTTCATGTAACGGGCTACCCCGTTACATCACCCCTGTAACGGGGCAGCCCGTTACATGAAATTGTCACTTTAAGGAAAGTGACAATAAAGAATATAAAGATGGATATTCTTTAAAACAATATCACCAAAGTGGTGATATTGAAGGGTCGACCAAAGGGTCTGTTCATTGGTTGATATCGTGATGATATCAACCCACCAATCGCCGCAAGACGCGCGCAATGAGTGGTGACGAGACGTCACCATACATGCAGTTATATTAGTATAATTGAATTAAGTCAAACGAAGAGACAGTAGTTTAAAGACTTAATTTATTAATATAACAGTTCTACTTTTACCCTACCTACGCTTCCTCGCTTGCCACGTGTACGTCCGTCGGGGCACCCAAATCCCTTGCGTTAAGTTACGCAAGGGTGTGCCCCGTTACAACCCCCCTTATCTTTTAGCCGCCGTATGACTATCGAAACTTATTGGCCACTCGTTGTACACCATTACGACAGCGAGCACTTGCTTGGTCAGATCTATTCATACCTGACCTTCCCTCGCATAGCTAACATGTTTGTGCGGGTGACTCAAAGACTGCACAACATGATGCTGCACAAGCCTCCGTGTCAGTAGACTCGACGTCTGCTGCTTCTTCTTTGCCCGCGGCTCCTGTTGCCGCAGGCGCACGTGGTGACACACCACGTGTTCATGATGACTTCGAAGTGGA